TGTGAGTCCCAACGCTGGGTGGGCTGGCCAGTGAGCCACATGGCGCCGCACTGCTGTCAATGCAGCGGCAGCAAGGCACAGAGCAGAGACTAAGGGCAGTCCACAGCTGCAGCCTGCCCCTGCCCTGTGCAAAGACCGGGGGGGCCGTGGGCCCCCACTTCTGGTTCCCCAGCACCGCGAGGGGGCAGTTTGCTAGTAGTTACTAGAAGAAGGCGCATTAGCCTATTTTAATGTGGATTAGGTGAAGAGCACATTTTTTTGGTGACACTTTAATGCACATTAAATAGGCTCATGTGCATTAAAGTACATGTATAGATGCACCTTAACTGCACGGGCAATGTTTTACATAGCTGAAGTGCTGCTGCACAAACATTAACAAGTTAATACTGAAACTCTGGCAATTAGTAAGATATGATTAAAATCTTAATTAGACTTCCACATTGATGAACACAAAGAGACTTGTTTGTGGACATGAAATCCTGAAGACAGTTTTAGGCAGTACTAAAGAATGCTGAATTTTGATACTGCAACCTTTTTTCATTCACTGAATTTAGGAGTCCTCCAAATAGGCCCGAATCTATATAGTATCCTTGACATGAAGGTTGAAGGCATGGTTGCACATAAACTAGTTTAAGTGATCAGAAACTGGTTTAAACCTGTAACAGAACAGATGTTCAGTGCCCGTAAACTGCTTTCAAAATGTCCGAAACCTGTTTTAGACAAACCTGGATGGATGTAGTATCAGGCTTAACTGATTTATGTCAGGCCAGTTTCTGGAACTTCTGTCTCAGATTCCCTCCTGTATCAAGTTAACTCAGTCCCCAAGCATCCCAGGATCCCTAGGCTATGCTATCTGCTCCAGTGGAGCAGGGGTGGCCCTGCCCCCCCTGCTTTCACAGAGCTGAATTATTAAAGCCTCTGCTCCCTAGCCTCTGCCTGTGCCTCTCAGCCCAGCTTGGGGCCATATTGAGGGGCGATAGGGGGGAACCCACTCTTTGCACCAGGGCCAGGAAACCCCACTGAGGCTGAGGGATCTGGCTGGTCCCAGTTTAGAGGGACTGTTCTCTGTGGGTGGATAGCAAGGGGTTGGGGGGCATGTGCTGGGCAGCCAATCAAGGATGGTTCCTGCTTGGCTGCATTCAGGCGCCTTCAGCAGTGTCCAGCAGGCTTGGAGGCATGCTTTATTGTCCTACTGCCCCGGCTACTGGTGTGGGCCACTGCAGGGGTCTGGCTGCATTTCTGGTTTCAAAAGTGAACAGCAGTTCGCTTTAGTGTTAGTTCAATCTACACAGTTTAGATAAACCTGCAAAGATTGAATTAATTCCTCCTGGGGCTGTTTGACTATCTGTACTTAGCTGAAAAGAAGCTTTTGACTGAAATTCTTAAACATCACTGATCATCAGATTCTCAGTTTGTCTTCAGTCTCTGTTCCTAGACGGTCTTCCCTCTCTGGTCATTCTGTACTCCACTGTTACAGCTGCAATGTGCTTCCAGCATCTACAGCAAATGAGACATGGAATGTACTGAGAAGTCTTGCACAACCCTGATTTGGTCTCTGAGCAAAGATTTTATTTGCATTACTGTAGCATCTCTGGTATCCAGGACTAGAACTCATTGGGTAGGCACTGTGCAAAAACAAAAGAAAAAGGTAGCCACCAGCCCAAAGAGCTTACAGTCCAATGATATGGACAAGTATGATGGTAATCCACATGTACCAGGTGACAGGCAGTTTTAATTCTGATGTTGCCTGTCTTTCAAGAACTTAACTTTGCAACTTTAACATAAGAAAATACCTTTAAAACAATGCCAAGTTTTTTTTAGAAAAAGCAAACCCAAACTCCCAAATTCCATCTAGTGGATCCATATTTATTCTCACAGGGTTAGAACCTACATAGTTGCCTCTCAGATCTCTGCCATTTGAGCCAAAGGAGCAACTCGTAGCAGTAATAGCTTGTCATCCTCTGCATGAACCAGTTGCTCAAGGAAAATGAGGGACATGGTTTTGTCAGTGGCTTCACAGCTATTTTCGGAGAAGAGAAATGTTGATTCTCAAGAAAGCTGACCTCTTTTCCCAGTTCTGGATGAGGTGTGTTTTCTATTCCTTTAGTCCTTACTAGGGCATCTGTTAATACAAAGCAATAAACTCCGTTGCATATTGCACTGGAGTTTATTGCTCCCAGGCACACTATTTGAATGTGCACCTGGGACGGCAGTACATTGAGCTAGGTCAGAGTAACACCAGCTGGCAGAGGGCCCAGGGGGTCAGCCTGCCAGCCCAGGGCTACTCCAACATGGCTCGTCATGCTGTGGAGGGCTGGCTGGGGAACAAGGGTGCTCCAGCATGAGGCTAGCCAGCAGGCAGCCCCCTCACTGAAGCACCCTCATACCCCAGCCAGCCACATCAGAATCTATACATGGAGTGCTGCAGAGTAAATAACTGCAGCAGGGTAATACTTGTATTTACAAATACTACCCTGCCGCAGAGTTTATTAATTTAATAGGGCTGCATGTGTAAGCGCAAGATGTTTACTGCAGAGCTAATTATCCTGCTCCTCAGTAAATTTCTCATGTAGATATGCCCACAGAGTCCTTTATTTCATTTCTTCTCAAGCCAGAAACCTCCTATGTGCCATCCGGCGTGTCCCTATCTCAGTCTATTTCTACCACCGCACTGAGTCTTTTCACTTTCATGGTCATGTCTGGTGACACTTGTAATATCTATTGAGTAAAACAACATTTGACTTTATATACTTGTTCTAAAACGAAAGCTTAGGAGGAGCTAGTGAGAAAATAGTGAAAGCTTTTAGTGAAAAATGTTGTAAATTAAAAAAAACAACAAAAAAACCCTGACTTGATCTGTTGAGTAGTGTATGAACCTGCTTGTCAGTTAGATGACTTGGTGTAGGCATTTGGCGTAGGTACTTATGTAGCATTCAGTCCTGTGCAAAATGGGTTATGGGAAGATAATTTCGGTTTGGTAGCAGTCTGCACCCACTTTTCACTTATTTCACACTAGCTTAAAGCACTTCACAAAGTACCAGACAATGAAGAATTAGGCCATGAATTTCACCCTTGACCTAACCATACCTCTACGTAATCTGATGCTTGTTGGCATTTGTGGGAGCATTAGTTTCCTCGTATGTAGTTCCAAGGGCAAACAGTTTTTGTTGTTGGGTTTGTTTTTTGTTGTTTTCCAGGTAGCAATAATGTAGCAGTCAGTTTGGAGACTTTGGCGTTTAGAGGAAGGTAGCCCTGAAGGGGGCAGAGGCAGGGCTTGCAGAGAAAAGGCTGAGGAAGGGCCTCAAAATCTGACTGAGGAGGAGAGACAGGGATGGGACTTAAAGCACCCTTTTGCATTCCTGTGACCTGCATCTCTGGCTGCCAGAGACCACTCTGGCAGATCTACTAAGACTTTGGAGTGATTCAGCAGTTAATTCCTCTCCTGACTTTCTGGTACTGGTGTCTCAGCTGCAGCTGCGTTTTGGAATTTCCTTAGCAGTAGTGCTCCAGAGTTTACAGTGTGCTTGGGAAAGCCCAAATCTTTCAACCTTAATGTTTCCCAAGTATATAGCAGCTGGCGAGCCTTACCACACACTGCTGCTGGAGGTGAAGGTCACAGGGTCTCTCCTGAAATACTCTTCCCATTGGAAGAAAGGATGCAAAGACTCCTGTGGGAAAGGCTGCTGAGTCAACCACAGAATGTGCTACTACCAAAGCAGGGGGGAACCTTCCCACTGTAAAAATAGCTGCACTAAAAGCCCTAATATACTTAAGTGCTTATTTTTCCATGTGTCATCTCATGTAAACCAAACTTCTGGGTATTATGACATTAGCATTTGGCCAAAAATAAAGTATAACTCAAACAAAACTCATTCTGAAATTAACTTGTGATGGGAGGAAGGGGCAGGTATCCTGTTTTCTTATTTTCATTATGTTATTATTATCAACGTATTTCTACAGGAAGACTAAAGATGGGATTGGTTTCAGGTACCCATATTAGAACTGTAGTATTGGTTCATCTAAGGCAAGTGTTGTACTCCTTTACTGAAAGAGGAAGAATTGGATTTACCTGTTATGGAAGAATTGGAACTGGCTGCCCAGAGAGGTTGTGGACTCTCCATCCGTGCAAGTTTTTAAGACCTGGCTCGACAAAGCCTTAACTGGGATGATATAATTGGGGATGGACTAGATGACCTCCTGAGGTCCCTTCCAGCCCTAATTTTCTATGATTCTATTATTTTAATTATGAAGGGACTATGAACAGTGAAAGAATGTATATTAGAGAAAATTTATTCAACACATTTCTTCAAGACTTTTTTTTTTTAATTTATGATCATATTTATTTAGTCCTAGAATATGTGTGACAGTCTGGAGACAAAAGCCTGCCATTTATCCACAAAACAGATATGGGAGATTAGCTGCTGGAGCACAAGATTCTCTGTTTGTCCTGCTGATGCACCTCAGGAGTGAGGTGGAGGGGATCCTCTCTCGTGGCAGTTGGGTAGTTCATTTTCTAAATCTATTAGGAGCTTGACCTATAGGTTCACTTGTAGGGGATTTATGCTAGAAGAAATGGATTGGAGTCATGAAAATCATTTCATAGCAGGCATGGAATGATCAGCGTACAGCCTAGATTGGCCACCATACAGTCTAGGCCCACTTTACACCCTGGCTAATGTCAGTGGGAAAGGGTTAAGATCCAGTTGCCAGTCAACCAGTATGTAATCTTAAACATTAGTTTCTTTGCAGCCACCACCATTTTGTCTCTGTAGCCCTCATTGGTTTCACAACTGTAGACAGCATTGACATTTTTGAAAACCAGAGTTTAGCTTTTTGAAGGGCACACCTTTATTAGTGAATTTGTTAGTGACAGAGGCAATATTTTAATTACAGTTTCTCCAGGTAACACATGGTGATGGCATCAGGAGCAACAGTTTTGGAACAGGATAACAATGCAATTCTTCCCCCTACCATGCCTCATATTTTGTTCTGCTTTGCAGAGACTCTGATCTGTTTTTGTTGGATACCCGGGCAGTGTGGGCCTCGGAAGAAGGCTGGCTGGAGTTTGATATTACTGCCACCAGTAACATGTGGGTGTTGAACCCTCAACACAACATGGGACTCCAGCTTAGTGTGGTGACCAGGGATGGTAAGTTAATCACCAGTATGCTTAGAATCATGCAGCATTCTTAATTGTAAATTGCAGCATTTAGTGGCGAGGCTCGAGGTAACATCCCCAGCTAAACAGCTGTGATATGATAGCTGGAACTCAGCCTGATACAGACTGTACAGCCTAGTACAGTCAGTCTTGGCTCCTGGTCTTCCTTAGACCTAAAATGCTTTAAGTACTCAGTTTTCTCGATATATGTGTGCACACAAGCACAGATTTTGCCATACTTTACCGTTGTTCCTGAAATGGAAAGCACTCATGCTCCCATTAACTTCAGGACATCTGGAAAACAGGCCAGCAAAGCTACCTATTTCCAAACCAGGGAAGAAAATAAAAGGTGGTGTTTGCTTCCTTTCCTCTTTTCCATGTACTATTTTTTTAAAGAAAAGAGGCACATTTATGATGTGTTGTAACAGCTTTAAAAGTCATGAAATAATGGCAGAAGGAAAGGCAGATCCCATTAGTCTCCATTTCTCAGTGAGATGCTCTCTCTGTGGATGCAGTCCCTTAGATTCCATGGGTGGGAATAGCTTTGCAGACTGTGAGATGAACAACAGCACTTCACAATCCATAAAGACTTTGGAAGAAGGGAGGCTGAGGGGAGGGAGGAGGAGGAGGAAGAGGACAAAATACTGTAAACCTGAGAAAAAGGTAGAAAATATAGTAGTGAAGGAGGAGAGATGGGAGAATTTAAGAAGGGAGTAACAATAAAGAGGAACCTTGCCTTCCACCCATTCCATTTTCTGCCTCCTATTGCTGGTAATTTCATAGAAATCAAGCAAGAGATCAGAGGGTGCACCTTGTCTTTTGACTAGAGAGACCCAGCTCTTGGTATGAACTATTAATGTGACCACACCCCATCTCTAAGCTCTCAATGACAAAGGTACATCTTTCACCTCACATTTTTTCTGGCTACTCTCCCCAGTGCCTTCTGTTCTCATCGTCTCCAATTTTTCAGATTTAGGTTTTGAATTTATCTATATCTGTAGCTATATTTATCTTTACTGTATGGCATTAGAAGACTGCATTCAGTCCCTGCCTTGAAATGTTCATATTTCACATTAATTTGAGACCATCAAGAAGTAGGCCTGTGCAAAGCAGGTAGTAAGTGCTTCGGATTCGGCCGATTCGGGGGACAGTGATTCGAATTGGTGATCTGTCCCAAATCGATTTGGCCAAATCTGATCAGCCAGGCCCACTCCCCCTCCCCCACCCCTAGTACTTACCAACTCAGAGTCGGCTGTAGCTCCCTGCTGCTGCCACTGGGGACTGCCCGAATCATCAAAGCTCTCTGAATCTTTTCCAAAGATTTGGAGAGCTTTGAATCGATTCAGGCCTTTAAATTAGTCCCCTGATTCGATTCAGATTCAGAGATTCGGCCACCAAATTGGGCCAAATCTCCTCCAAATCGAATCACCACCCAAAGCTTCACACACCCTCAGGGCCTGCAGTCATCTTCTTAATAGGGCTAAGTGTAGAGTGGGCAAGAAGAAAGGAGAAACAACAGAAAATGAGGAGAGGGGGAACCTTGCTTTTGGGAAGAGCAGCTTTGTCTGTTGCTAGCAAACATTATTCTGTGGGTTCTTCCCTACCTAATGTACCCTTTTTTTTTTGTTTGTTTAATTTGAAGGTCTGAGTGTAAACCCAAGAGAAGCAGGTCTGATAGGGCGAGATGGCCCTTATGACAAGCAGCCTTTCATGGTGGCCTTTTTCAAAGTGAGTGAGGTCCATGTCCGGACCACCAGGTCAGCCACAAACCGGCGCAGGCAGCAGAATCGAAATCGCTCCACTCAGTCTCAGGATGTTTCCAGGGTGTCTGGTATCACAGGTAATTTCTGCATCCTCTCTTTCATCTAGAGATCCTTTTTTTTCTGATACTTTCATTTGCTTTGATAGATGAAGGCAAAGAGAAATATTTGCAAGGGTCTGGAAGAGGAAGGCTCAGGTAATATTTATTTTTAGTGGGGTCTTTCTAAGTCCAAAGTGAAATCCAGGTACCATATAATTTCATGGGGTCAGAATTTGACCCCAAATCTTTTGATTAGTTTGCTACAATTTTCCTGGACCAGTATTGCAGCTTTGATGTGTTAGATCTGTGATTCTCAATCAGGGTGATACAGCACCTTGGCTGCTGTGAGATCCTTTTAAGGGTGCTGTGGGGTGTCACGGAATATCAACACAGTTAGGTGTGCCAATGCACTACTAAGTATGCTAATGTGTAGACATGATTCACAAGATAAACCCAGTGATTTGAAACAGAAATCTGGAGTGTCAGATATTTTGACCTGTTGTGGCCTTTCTGAGTTCTTTGCAGCAGAAAAATTGCTCTATTATTTTTCTATAGTAAAAACATGAGTGAAAAAGTGAAGAGCTGGCATTTGCCAGGAGGGTCTGAGAATGTTGAAAACCACTGTGTTAGATATTTAAAGTGCATCACCTCTACATGCTGGAATGCTGTTACTGAGCCCATTGTGTGTGCGGCTGTTTAGTGTAGTCTTGAAAGCAATGATGAATTTTTGGTTTAACCTAGAAAAAACATGGTAAAGTAGTTCAGTCCCCTTCCCTTGCCTTCTAGAATAGTATTATCAAGGCAGACTTCAAGGAAGTATGAGGCTAGATTTGTCCGTATAGGATGCTACTGAAAAAGATACTTCTCAGTCCATTGTTTAAATTGTGTTATCCCTCCCATGACATCCCTCCACTAGCTTCCCCATCTCCAACTGTAATCTTTATTTTCACTCCCTGCCTTATCCCCACCCTGTCTGTCACCTTTTGTCCATTCTTGAGGCGTTGGTTTCTGTCTCCATTCAGTCTAGGGCACCAGCCTCCACCACCACCTTGTTTAGATTTGAAAAGTACTATTTATACTTTCTCCTTTGCTGCCCTTCATTTGAGAGGAGCTGCCCACAGGATTGGATCCAGGATACAGTTGTCAACCTTTGATCCCTGCTTCACCCACAGTTTAAAACAAAGTATCTGGCAGTGTGGCAGGACCATTTCTATTCAGACAGCAGTGAGGAAGTCATTTGACTTATGGCTCATATTAAAATCTACCTGATATCTTCTAAACTCTTCATTCCACAGGTGGTAATAACCCTCTCCGTTTTTAATGATCTTATGTTCTGCTAATTAAGCTATTCTTTTTTTTATGATTCTGCTGTCTTTTAGCTGTTCCTGGTAATATAGATCCTATTTCACAGCCCTATAGACAAAAACATTAACTCAGGTGTGGAAATAACTTTCAGTGAAGCATTGGATGCACTGCCAAGATGATCAAGAAGGCTTGATTTTGTTTTATGAATCTGATATTACATTTAATACACTTACATTTAAATACATTTAATACTAATGACTACAAGACTAAAGAAACAACATATTTTGAGTATTTTTTTGCCTAGTTTGTTGTACTTTGGAATACATAATTGAGCAAATGAATGCACATTCCAATAAGATTATATTTATTTTTGCTTAAATCATAAAATGAATAATATAACCCTAGGCCCCTAGTGTATTAGTAAAGATTATGGTTTCTTTTTACGGGAAAAAAATGTGTGTTGTGTTATACATGATGCACCATGGCATCTATACGCCACTTTTCAAAATCCTAAATCCACCTATGGCTGACTAATATTGCCCAGTTTCCCTGCACTCTCCCATATGGGCAATATTGCCCAGTTTCCACTGAGCTCTTGTGCTTGTCAAGAGACAAGTACAAGAGACAGTTCTTAGCACAAGTTGCTGGTTCTGTGCCCAAACAGCTTGCCATTTTTGTATAGTATCTCGCCTACTGGGCCCCTCAACAAAGGTTGGGGCTTATAGAGGCCACAATAATATAAATAAATAATAGGGAATAGTGCACAGGGATACAATGCATCTTTTGAACTCTCAACATGAGCACAATGAGATGAAGGCATAGCTGATAGGTAGCTGGTTTACATTCTTTATGCTTATTGCTTTTCAAAGCCAAATATATATAGCTCATAGATATAGTTTTGATCTCAGGTAACTTATCACTGGATCTTACTTCTGCTTATCCCTATATCTCTCCCTCAGGTCTGTTCATTAAAAATATTTAGCTTATATCCTTTTGCTAATCATACTTTTTTGTCCTACCAGTCTTTCACACGGGGATATCTGAAACCATACTGAGTTCTTCTCAAATACATAGGTACATGTAGTTTTAAACGAGATATTCCTGACCAGACCACATGAGAATGACTATTAATTTTTTGGACGAAGTTCCAGAGCATACAAGTAGGCTTTCCTGCTGTGTCAGGAGTAAAGTCGCATTGGTTGAAGAACAGGGTTAAGAGTATAGCATTTACTTTCCCATGACAGCTAGTTGGAAAAGTCTGAAATGTGGACAAAAATGAGAAAATATGTTCTGTTTTCCAACAGTTCTGTATTACCTCATGGAGCCAAAAGTCATTCATTCACTAAGTGCCTGTTCTTTTTTCTGGATAAGATGTTTTTAGCATTCCTAAAGTAACAGACTGGGATCATTTTGCTTATACTGCCCCCCTCCTTTGGCAATAAACTCTTAGCCTTTTCTGTATCTACAAATTAGGGTACTACAAAAAATTAAGACAGTACTTTCATATACCTATGGTGAGACAAAGACTGGAATAACTGAATATTGCTGCAGCTGAGCTAATGTCAATCAGTAGCCTATATTTGGAGATGTTAGTGCACACTGATGATGACAGTGGTGTAGGAAATGCTGGTAAATTCCCTGCTATGCTGTAACAGCTAGATTAGGTTTTGAATGTGTGTTTAAAATGTAGTTCATAGAGCTGAAGGTGAGGAGGGACAACTAGGTCATCTAGACCAACCACTGAACCTCACCCAGAATCTCCCTCTGCTGAGCCTAATAATTTGTGAAGAACAGTTAAACTGACCCCCTCGCCCCCACAATGGTGCATTAAGCCTCTTAAATTCTCAAAGCAAGGGCGCCCTCCCATAATGGTGACCTGCCATGGAAAACAATGGAGGAATCATAGTTGCCATTAATATCAATGACAGTTGGCTGGAGTGGAAGGATGGTCACTTTTTGTTAATTAGATGGGGTTTACTTGTAGATGGGGATTTCCCTTTCTTTGAGAAGTCCAAAATCTATGCAGAAGCCCATAAAACCAGCAGGTCGGTACCAATCCTGCAGCATTGTTTGAACCAAGGGCATTCCACTTCTTTTGCTGGTAATTGAATACCCAAGTCATTTACTCTGTTCTGTTTCTGTCTTAAAGATCAAAAGTCAGCTTTCCTTGAAGAGGTGATATCGCAGCAGTCAATACCTTTGTGCAATGCCTCTGGCTGCCTGTACCAACTAGTGTAAATGAACTTGACATTTATTCTGTATAGATGAAGAGAAGAACTCTAAACACCACAAACTAAGCAGACAAACGCTGTCACTATCACTGTGAAGAGCAGAGCTAGCTGGACTCAGAGGTAGCTTACCAGAATAGAAGTTGGGAACAAAGAAAGCTTTACACCTGAAGGTTAGAAAGTTGTCAGTCTCAGCTAGCTGTTTCTGTATTATCTGATACCACTTTATTATTACTATTATTATAATTTAGATTTATATCCCACCCTAACCAAAAGGCTCAGAGTGGCTACAAGAAATGACAAAGAAACCACAGATAAGAAACAGTAGACTCCCTGAAGGATACCCCTCACTCTTCCCCTGCCCCCTATTCTTGCTTCCCTGCTCATTACCCTTAAGAGCAAACCCTCTGGCCAATCGCAACTATGCTCCCTAACCTCCATTCACATCTAGGTATAACCTAGTTCCCACTTCCCACTTTTCCTGGCCTTCAAGGGTGATTATTTTTCTTAGTTGGTCTTCACTGGGTCCAGCTTAGTTTTCACAACGACTCTGGGTCCTTGTTTCTAAAGGTGTGGGTCTTGATTACAGATAGACCCTTGTGATCAACTGGCCAAGAACATGTCAGTAAGTGCAGTTTATTCATATAGATATCACTATAAGTGGTGGGCTGTGCTATTCCATCCCAAGCGTAGAACTGTATATTGATATAAAGCCAGTGGCCACTCTGTCAGGGTGGTGATGCAAGGGCTGATTTGCTAATGTTTTTACAGCACTTTTGAAAAATTAGTTGCCAGGTCTCATTCTTGAATTGGAAACTGGCTGTTTTGTGTTGGTGACGCTTGAAGGAGAGACTCCAGCTTTTCCTTGCTTTAACTCTGTAAGCCTTGCTAAAAAAAATTAAAACAGTTAAATCAGAAGATATGACTCAAAGCCCCAGAGGGAGGAGATATCTTGGGCAAAAAGAGGCCATTTTTTGTTGTTGCTTTTCTGAATGCAACCACATTTCAGATTATAAAATTATAAAACGACAAAAGGAAAAAATAACTAGTAGTTTTGTGGTTTCAAGTGCTTTTTTGAGCTCCTTTAACTCAAAGCCAGCTTTAATTTAAAACCTAGAATTTGGCAGGCTTGTAGTCAACAAGGTATAGTTGAGCCTTTGTGGGTTTTCAAGAAAGGAGAGTTTAAAACTGAGATGTTTATTTCCCTGGTTTTTTTTAAGTGAGAGAAATTAGCCAGTACAGTCTCTAAGCCCAGCACACTACTAATTTCTCCTCCTTAGTCCAGGGTTGATATAACCAGGGATCCTAGTTTTCTCTGATTTAAAAAAAAATTACAAATTCTCTGATAAAACTTCCAAAATCCATTATTAAAATTAAAAGCTCCCTGCAGCCCGCCCCCCCAGCCCTGCTGGTGTCCCTCACTTGCCCCCAAAGCCATCCCAACCCTGCTGGTGCCCCTCATTGCCCCCACAACAGCCCCCTTCCCTACTCATGGCTCTTGCCCCC